CCTCCCCTCCCCTCCCTCTCCCCCCTCCCCATATTCCTGGGTTAAAATTGGGTTATAGCCTTCCTATGAAAGCTATAAATTAGTTTCATAGTAGGGTTGAGTACATTGGATACTTTTTCTTCCATTCTTGGGATACTTTGCTAAGAATATTTTCCAGCTCCATCCATGTAAACTTGAAGGAGGTAAAGTCTCCATCTTTCTTAATGGCTGCATAGTATTCCATCCTGTCCCATTTTTAAATAATACATTCAGTGAACCATCTTTGTAACCTCTTATTACTTGGAAAATTTTTGGTGCCATTTATCTGCTCAGACTTTAAAGGGTGTTTTCACAACTGTGAGTTCTAGGGACTTTCCAGACTGTCAGGACTAAACTTGTTACAAACAAACATACACAGTAACAAAAAACAATACCAGAGATGCAAGGGTATATGGTGAGGTTTTTCTGAACAGAGAGGCTTTCTTATAGTTAGGGGAGGGTAGAAGAGAGAAGGCAGTTTTTAAAGTGTCCCTCCTTTTTAGGTAGAGACAATAGGTAAACTGTGGATGCAGAAGAAGACAGGCCAAGAAATTATCATAATGTTTTCCAGAGGGGTTGTACTAATTTGCAGTCCCACCAACAGTGTATAAGTGTTCCTTTCTCTCTGCATCCATGTCAACATCTATTCTGAACTTTTTTTTTTTTTTTTGCAGTTTTTGGCCGGGGCCGGGTTTGAACCCACCACCTCTGGTTTATGGGGCTGGCTTCCTACTCCTTGAGCCACAGGCACCGCCTTACTTTGAACTTTTTGATAAAAGCCATTCTAACAGGAGTAGGGTGATATCTTGTAATGGTTTTAATTTGCATTTTCCTGATTAGTGATGTTGAGCATTTTTTCATGTTTGTTGGCCACTTGCCTATCTTCTTTTGAAAAACTTTTTGCCTATCTTTGCCCACTTTTTAATGAAATTGTTCAGTTTTTTCTTGCTGATTTGAGTTTCTTGTAGATTCTGGTGGCTAGCACTTTATCAGATGTGCTCATTGCAAATATGTTCTCTCATTCCATAGGTTATCTATTTTCTCTGTTGATTATTTCCTTAGCTGTACAGAAGATTTTTAGTTTAATTGAATTTCATTTATTTATTTTTATTGTGCTATAACTGCCATTGGGGTCTTAGTCATAAGCTCATTACCTAGATCAATGTCCAGGAGAATTTTTTCTGTATTTTCTTCTAGAATTCTTATGATTTCATGCCTTACATTTAAGTCTTTTATCTATCTTGAATTAATTTTTGTGAGTGGTGGGAGATATGGCTCCTGTTTCATTCTTCTGCATGTGGCTATCTAATTTTCCCAGCACCATTTATTAACCAGGTTTTCTCTTCCCCAGTGTTCATTTGCCTTATCAAAGATAAATTGGCTATAGGTAGATGGTTTTATATCTAGGTTCTCTATTCTGTTCCATTGGTCTATATATCTCTGTTTTTGTACCAACACCATACTGTTTTGGTTACTATAGTGTAGTGTGAAGTCTGGTAATGTGACACCTCCAGCTTGTTCTTTTTGCATAGCATTGCCTTTTCTATTTAGGCTCTTTTGTGGTTTCAAATGAAGTATAGAATTCTTTCTCAAAGAACTGAAAGTAAACCTACCATTTGATCCAGATCCCACTGGTGGGTATCTTTCCCAAGGAAAAGAAGTCATTTTATAAAAATGACATCTGCACTCAAATGTTTATTGAAGCACAATTCATTTGCAAAGATGTGGAATCAACCCAAGTGCACATCTATTCATGAATAGATTAACCAAATGTGGTATATGTGCACCATGGAGTACTATTCAGGCATATAAATAATGAATTAATGTCTTTAGCAGCAATTTATAGAGAACTGGAGACTATTATCCTAAGCAAAGTATCTCAAGAATAGTAAAACAAATATTATATGTACTCTCTAATAAATTAGAGCTCAACAATGGGCACAAAAGTACACAGAGAAAGTTAAAGTGCTGGGAATCAAGCTGGGGAGTGAGGAGAAGGGCAAAAACCCAACTACCAGGTACAATGAACACTTTTCAGGTGATGGGCACATTTATAGCTCCGAATCAGGCCATGTATCAAGAACATCTATAGCTTCTTAATATTTTGAAATAAAAAAAAAACAAAACAAAGAGAGGTAAAGAAAGGAATTGTCATTACTGCTGAACCCTCACCATCTGAAAGGGAAAGGAAAGGATCATGTGTCTGGGGTCAATGCGCATCCTTCAGAATCAGTGAGGGAGTGTAGGCAAGCAGTGTAGGGAAATGACAGGGCTTCTTTTCGGCGGTTTATAATCTAAATAAAGAAGCTTTAAGGGTTACAGCTGTTAAACAACTGGTTGACATGGGGAGAGGAAACAAATACATATGCATCATCAACACAAGTGAAATCATTGTTTTAAGGGGGGAGGAGCCAATAGGAATTGTGCTGAAAGTTAGGGAGTAGATGAGAATTAAATTATAAAACCTTTCATGGAGGAAATAAGCATAGGTTTGATTTAAGACAAAAGGCATTGGTAAATATCATTTCACTTGTGCTCATTAGAGGTTACATTATACTAAAGAGAAGTCTGCTTTGTAAGTCAGGATGGGTTGGGTTGTGTGAGTACTGCTTTAGTACAATTACTCTGTAAAATTGAGGTAGAATTAAAAAATGTTGGGAAGAAGTGAGGGGGTTTTGTAGAGAGAATAAAAAGGGACCAGCAGAGTGGAATACCATATGAGTGGAGGGGGCTAGAAAAACCCTGATGGACAAAATATTGTGAAAGAGATTTGGGGAGAAAAGAAGAGTTTTTCAAGTCGTTTGCCATGGTATGCCATTCCTTTGCCTCTTTGTGGTATAGGCTACTCTACCTTCTACTGATTTTTGGTAGACATGAATCCTTTTGAGGAATTATAGAGGGGTGGGCTGCTACTGAGCATATTTCTGGTTAAAACAGGTGAAAAACCCAATCATGTATGTAGGAAAGCTGTAGTTCAGGACAGAGTAGATCTTGAGGGTATAGTAAACTGCTGGGCACATAAGACTTTCAAAGACTATATGGGGTCCTCAGGAAGATCAGTACCAGGTGGAATAAATAGAAAATTTCACTAAAGTAAATATATGATATAGTAAAAGGGTGGAGTTAAAAAGCAGTTCTCAACCTGTGGGTCACAACCCCTTTGTAACAATGAAAATTCATTGCGGCATTAAGAAGGTGGAGAACCACTGAGAGGGTTAGATGGAGAGACCTAAAGACTTGCAAGGGGATAGGCAGATCAGCTGGGCTGGATGATGGGAAGAAGAGCTGTGGATTTATTTCCCATGTTTCCCCCTCCCCCACCCTCAAGAATCTCTGATGTCTGTACTAAAGCTCTGTGATGTGGGCCTGGAATTCTGGCTTAGAATATGCATTCAGTGCTCAGCTTCAGATTATGTGGACCATCTGCTTTGTCTAAGAAGCCATACTGCATCATGGCTAATATCCTGCTTGACTTTCTGGGTATTTCTAACTTTGCCTTCCTGTGTGGGATGGTGCTTCTCCTTCTATCTGTCTGCTACTTAGAGACTCTATATTTCCCAACATTTTGGAAACAGAGAAACAGTAAACAGGTAAGTAAACCAGGGTGGCTCAGAGATTTTAAATCTTTTTTTCTTTTCTTATGTAGGCATTTTAATGCTATAAATTTCCCTCTAAGTATTGCTTTTTCTGCATCCTACAAATTTTAATAAGTTGTATTTTTATTTTAATTTGGTTTAAAATATTTAAAATTGTCTCTTGATGCTTCTTTGACCCGTGTATTATTGAACATTGTATAATTTTCAAGTATTTTGGGATTTCCAGCTATCATTCTGTTATATATTTCTGGTTTTATTCCATTATGATCTGAAAGCAGACATTCTATAATGTCTATTCTTTTTTATTTGTTAAGGTTTATTTTATGGCCCAGGATGTGATTTATCTGGGTTGATGTTCCATGTGAGCTTGAACAGAATGTGTATTCTACTATTGTTAAAATATTCAACACATAGCAATTGGATCAATTGATAGTGCTATTGCAAGCCACTCTATCTTTATTGATTTTCTGTCTGTTAGATCTGTCAATTACTTATAGACATATGTTGAAGTCTCCAACAACAAAAGTGGATTCATCTCTTATAGTTCTTCCAGTTTTTTTCCTCACATATTTTGGTACTCTATTGTTAGATGTGTACACATTAAAGATCGTTACATCTTCTTGGACAATTGAGCCTTTTGTTATTATTTAATGCTTGTCTTTATCCCTAATAATTTTCCTTATCCTGAAGTTTGGTCTTAAATTAATATAGCTACTCCTGTTTTCTCCTGATTAGTGTCAGCATGGGTGCAGTTTTTCCATCCTCTTCTAATCCATGTCTTGTAGACAACATATAGTTGGGTCTTAATTTTATATTCAATCTGATATTCTGTCTTTTAATTGATGAATTTAGGCCACTCACATTTGAAGTGATTTTTACAGTACAGTTGGATTAATATCTGCCATTTCTGCAATTGTTCAATTGTACTATTTACATTACCTGTTCTTTTTTCCTCCCCGTTTTTCCTACTGTCTGTGGTTTTAAACAAATACTTTATTTTATTTTTGATTTAGGTGATATTTTATTTTATAAAGAGTCTTCCTCCGTCACGAGGCTGGAGTGCAGTGGTAGAATTGTAGCTTACTGCAGCCTTGAATTCCTGGGCTGAAGCAATCTTCCCACCTTAGCCTCCTGAGAAACTGGGACTACAGGTGTATGCTACCACACATGGCTAATTTATGTTTTTTGAAATAAGTTTTGCTAGTTGTTCATGTTGGTCTCAAAACTTCTGGCCTCAATTGATCTACTTGCTCCAGCCTCCTGAGTAGCTGGGAGTATAGGTAGAAGCCACCATACCTTGCTATATGACTTTTAAATGTTTATGGTTAAGGTGTACAAAATGATGTACTGTTATAATTACACATAGTGAAATGGTTACTGTAGAGCTATCATCTTACATATTTACTTTTCCTGTATGGTAAGAGCATTTAAAATCCACCCTATTAGCAATTTTCCAGTATATAGTACAATATTTTTGTCAGTTCCAAATTTTATTTCATTAAGTTAAAGGTGAACAAAATGTTTATGTCACATGTCATTATTTATCTATAATATATGTTTACATGGAGGACAAACAGATATAGGATTTCAGGTAACTTACTGTATAGTCTACTGTTCATTTAAAAATATTCTTCCTTCCACCAAAACTCTACATTAAAAGACAAACGACAAACTTTTTTTTTACTACATAAAAGCTAGATACAAAAACCTTTTTTTACTACATAAAAGCTAGATTTCTGATGTACATTTATTTCCTTGTCCACTCTGATGATGATGAGAGGCACAAGTGTGCATAGTTCAGTAAAATAATGCAAACAAAGGGCTTCTGTTTCTCTCAGATACCAATGAGAAGCCCCCATTCATGTCTCTTACAGTAGTATCACATGAACGATGCTCATACTCAGTCACTTCTTTCGTTTCCCTTTTTTACTTCCTTCTTGCTGAAGACTTTGGTCACCACCTCCTGTTTTCTGAGAGCTTGTTTTTAGTTTGGGTATCATTTCCACTGCATACAACGTTACTGAGCTATGTGATGGGAACTGTACAAGACAGAGGCTGCCATCTTCTTGTATGAGCTGAACCTAGACTCTGCCTCTGTTTTGGACATCACAATTCCTTTCTCTAAAGCATATTTTATTTCAAGAAATACATGAAGTCCTGTGGCTAAGCATACATCTTGAATCTCTATAACTGTAGGACGTTCAATAGCTTTACTTATGGGTATATGCCTTCTTTCTACAATGGTCTTGTTATTGAAATAGAAAGGATAGATACAAATAGACCTGTCCTGGTCAGCTGGGGACTGTGAGGCAACACAAACCAGTCTCACAAGGGTCCATGCAGTGCCAGCACAAGATCCCCAGGGAAAAAAAAACTGACTGTAACAATACAATATTGCTAACTATAGTCCTCATACTGTACACTATTAGATGTATAGACTTACTTATCCCACACAATTACAACTTTGTATGTACATCTTCCCATTTGTTTTTTCTTTTTCTTTCTTTCTTTCTTTTTTTTTTTTTTTGTTGAGACAGAATGTCACTCTGTGGTCCTGCATAGAGTGCTGTGGTGTCATCATAGCCCATAGCAACCTCAAACTCTTGGGCTCAAGAGATCCTTTTGCCTCAGGCTCCCGATTAGCTGGGACCACAGGTGCCCACCATGATGCCTGGATAGTCTTTCCACTTTTGGTAGAGATGGGGATCTTGCTCTTGCTCAGTCTGGTCTTGGACTTCTGAGCTTAGGCAATCAATCCACTCGCCACCCACCCAGAGTGCTAGGATTACAACTCTGAGGCACTGTGCCTGGCTTACATCTCCCTATTTCTTTCCCCTAACCCTTCTGTTCTGGGTGGCCACTGTTTTACTCTGTTTCTATGTATTCAACCTTTTATTATTTTTAGATTCCACAAATAAGTGAGGTCATGCATATTTTTCTTTCTATGTCTGATTTATTTCACTTAGTATAATAACCTCCAGGCTTGTCCACGTTGTTGTAAATGTCAGAATCTCTCTCTCTCTCTCTCACTTTGTCACCCTTGGTAGAGTGCCACAGTGTCATAGCTCATAGTAACCTCAAACTCTTGGGCTCAAGTGATTTTCTTGCCTCAGCCTCCCAAGTAGCTGGGACTATAGGTGCCTGCCATAATGCCAAGCTATTTTTAGAGACAGGGGTCTCACTCTTGCTCAGGCTGGTCTTAAACCTGTGAGCTCAGGCAATTCACCTACCTTGGCCTCTCAGAGTGCTAGGAGTACAGGTGTGAGCCATGGTGCCGGCCTTAGGATCTCTTATTTTTTAAAGTCTGATACATATTTCACACTTTCTTTACCTATTCATTCATCAATTGTTGTTTTTCAATCTTGGCTGTTGTGAATAATGCTGCAATGAACATGGGGTGCAAATATCTCTACAAGGTACTAATTTTATTTCTTTTAGGTATATATATAGTTTATTTTGTGTGATATATTAGTATATGACTCCTTCTGTCTTTTACATGGACTCTTTTTCCATACTTTTACTTTCCATCTTTGTGTATTCTTAAAGCTAAAATGAATCTCGTATAGTTAGCATATAGTGGAATCTCTTTCTGCCCCCCAACCGTTCAGCCATTCTGTGTTTTTTGATGGAAGAATTTAATCCATTTACATTTAATTATTAGTAGGTAATAATCTACTAATACCATTTTGTTGTTTTCTATTGTGTAGTTACTTTATTCCTCTTACCACCTTCTTTTATGACTTGGTGATTTGTAAAAACAAGAATTTTATGAGACTCAATTTTCTCTTCTCTCTTAGCTTATAAATTATATTTCTTTTAAAACATTTTAATAATTACCCTAGTTTATAATATATGTTTACAACTAATTTTATTACGCTTTCAAATAACACTATATTGCTTTTCAGCATAGTAGTGAAAGTACCTTATGATAAAGTTTTTATAATTCTTCCCCCCTAACCCTTATAACATTGCTGTCATTCATTTCATTTCTATACCATATATACTTATCTATATATCATAACCACTCCATATGTTTTTGTGGCTATCATAATTATATTAAGAAAAGAAAAATAAAAGTTTTATTTAGTTTTATTTTGCCTTTATTTTTTCCTTTGCTGAGTGCTTTTTCTTTTGTTTTCCTTTCCTTTTTTTTTTTTTTTTTGTTTTTGATTTTCCAATAACTTTATTTTGCTATATTGTGCATGTTGGGGTTGGCAAGTCCTGATAGCTGGAGAGCTAGAAGAGAAACTAGGAAGCTGTGGTCTCAGCATGGTCCTTAAAGGAGAATAGAAGCTTCCTTGCCCTTGGAACCCTCTTCCCACCCACTGTAAGCATGGGCACAATACAGCACCAATTTTTGTTCAGGGCACTTGGGTGCTTCATCTCTTCTGGGCTAAAGGTAAAGTCAAACACCTAGATGTTCTGAAGAATAGGACAGTGATACTTTGGGGGAAGCAGATCACTTTCTGTTGGACCTGCCACCTGAGCAAGATTTCAGTTGGAGATCAGACATACATTGCAACCACTGGTTCCTCAAGCAGGACAGGCTCATCAGGATCACACCAAGCATAACCAGAGAAGTCCAAATGACTGTACGCAGTCATTTCCAGGCTGTGTACTTGGCAGTGGGCCAATTAGCTTGTTCTGAGCCAAGTATATGGTGGCATTCCACCTGCAAAACATCTGGGTGCATGTAGGCTACACTGAGTATATCATCAATTTGCCAACTGTTAGAGTTGGACAGGCCCAGTGCCCATACCAGCCCTTTAGCCACCAGTGCCTCCAGAGACTTCCAGGCTCCACTCCTTGTGGTAGGTGGAGTTATAAGATGATCTCAATGGTATTCCTGTGGAAGAGGTTTCTCCCACTCAAAGGCATAAGGCCAATGCATCAAGCAGAAATCCAGATTCTCTTGGAAGTCAGTTAGCATCTTCTGTAAGGCAGGCTCCACATCATTGGGGTGGTTCTTGGTGTCCCACAGCTTGGTTGTCCTGAGGCATTGCCTTGCCCAGTCCTAAGTTTCCCTTCAGGACCTCCTCAATCTCATTCTCATTGCCGTAAATAGCAGCACAGTGTGGCGTACTTTACACTAAGGACATACTTAATAGCTGTTTTACCCAGCCAGGCTCACTGTTCCAGATATTCAGACTAATCAGGGGCACCTTCTGCCAGCATGCAGGAGGACATAGGAAGCCTTCATTGTTACCTTGCCACCTTACCAAGAGCACAGAGCATGAACAGAGTAGGTGAACTGGGCTTAGTTCTACATACTACCAGAGACCCAGTGGACCTCAGTCTACATCTGGTGGTAATGAGGAAATTCCACCCTGTCCCTAGCTTCCTGGGGAAGGAACAGAAGGGGATGGAAGCCAACGCTGCGAGGCAGTACACCAAAAGTGCTGCCCTCCCCTGGATGCCGGAGGTAAGAAAGTGCAGACACTCACTCAATATTGTGAGTCTGGAGAACTTGTGAATATAACCAGGCAGGATGGCCTATCACATGGATGTTTGGGAGTGGGGGAGGCACTCTTTCTTTTTTATATATAGATATGAATTATCATTTTACTTTTCCTTAAAGAGGTTTTTAAAACATTCCTTGTAGGGCAAGTCTATTGGTGAGGCATTCTTTGTGTGTTTTCATTTTTATTACAAAAAGTTTTTATTTCTCCTTCACTTTTGAAGGATAATTTTGCTGGATAAGGATTCTAGGTCAGTCTTATCCTTTTTTTTTTTCTATCAATACCTTAAATATTTCACTCCACCCTTCTTGCTTGCATTGTTTTTAAATAAGAAGTCTATAATTCTTATTTTGTTCCTTATAAGTAAGGTGTTTTATTCTCTGATTCCTTCAAGATTGTTTTCATTTGGTTTCATTCAGTTTGAATATGATATGCCTAGCTGTAGATTTTTATTTATCCTGCTGGTGTTATCTGAGCTTCCATGATCTATGGTTAATTTATCATTAATTCTGGAAAATTATTGGCCATTATTACTTGAAGTACTTCTTTTGCTTCATTCTCTCTCTCTTCTTTTCTAGTACTCTAATTGCATGTATGTTACACATTTTGAAACTGTCTTATGGTTCTTGAGTAATCTGGGTTTCAAAAAATTTTTAATTCTTTTTCTTTCTTATTTCAGTTTGGGAAATGTCTATTGACATATATATTCAAACTCACTTATTTTTTTCCTTGGCCATATGTAGTTTATTGTTGAGTGCATTAAAGGTATTCTTCAATTTATAATGATATTTTTCATTTCTAACATTTCCTTTTGATTCTTTCTTAGACTTTTCATCTTTCTGTTTATATTCCTCATCTATTCTTGAATGTTGCCTCCTTTTTCCATTAGAATTCTTAACATATTCATCACAGTTCTTAAAATTGCATGTGTGACAATTTCAAAATTGGTGCCACATATGAGTATGGATCTGATGCTTGCATTGTCCACTTTATTCAGACTTTTTTTTCTTGTCCCATGACTTGTGATTTTTTGTTGAAATCTAGACACAATGTATTGGGTAATAGGAACTGAGGTAAATAGGCTGCTAGTGCTAGAATTTATATTAATCTGGATAGGAGTTTTTTGCTGTAGCTATCCATAACAGAGCCTTATATTTCCTCTAGAGTTATTGTTTTTGTTTCCTCTGGGATCATAAGCGTTCCCTAAGATCATCTCCTTAAGTACAATTTACATACTGCAGCTCCTTTATCTATTGTCCCTTGTTACTATAGTGAAGCTCTGTTAGTGTGGTGGTAAGGTGTCCGGGAGATATGATTAAATCTCAGTCTTTTAGTAGGCCCATGTCCCTGGGCTGTGATGTTCACAAGTATTGCTAAGCTATTTTGCCCTACCCCTTAAATAAGTCAGGGAGGCTAGATGGGGCTGAAGTTGGGTAACTTCCCTTCCCTCATGTGGGATAAGGCTCTGGTAATATTTTCCCCTGATGAGTAGGCTTCTGTTATGAAGAACACCCAGGGTATATTTAAAATGGTAACCTTTCCTTTCTCCCTCCCTGTATCCCTCTTTTTAGCTAACTCTATGCAATTAGTTTTCTCACAGCACTTGTGAGAATCTGATGGAGCAACTAGAGGTAAAACCTATGCCAATAGCAGGGACCCCCTAAGAACATGACCCCAGGAATTTCTTACTCTTAGGCTAGCTTACACACAACCTTCAAAACTTCATCAAGGTGTCCATTTAAGTGTTCCCTTTATGGCTCCAGTGGCTTCTGCTTCAGGTAAGCTGATCTCTAATATAATTCTCTTCATTTCCCTTTTCTGAAGATTTTGTAGGGTGGTTTCAATTCTCTGGTAGCTCCAAGAAAAGGCATTTTCAGTTTGTTCAGTTTTTTGTTTCTTCTAAAGATGTCAGTAATTACTTCCAATCTCTTTAAATGTCAGATTTGGAACTAGAACTTACCCCTCAGAGAATGATTCATTATTTTCCTGCTCCTCTTCCCACATTTCTAAATAAGTTTGGTTGGCTTAAAGAGATGCCTGAGAAGGGAAGTCTGAAGAGAAGACAGTGCATGACTCTTCTAGGGGAAGAGGTTGGGCAGTGCTAGGCATTTAGGAGGACGCAAGTTCCACCTCAGGCTCACAGGGTGCCTATCAGGGTATAGTGGAGGGTTCCAGGATAAAACCCCAAACAGTGATTTCATGGTCCTGGATTGGCATATTTAGATTGGGTTCTCTGATAGAGAACAGGTTCTTCTGACAGCTCTGTTGTGGCTTGATCTCGAGTCACATTCCCATGTCAGTGTCACTTGACTAAGCCTTCCTTCATGTTGGGCTGATCATGACAGCAGGGTGAGAGCCTCTGGGCAGAGGCTGAAGCTAAAGCTCTTTTCTCAGCATACAGAGTCCTCTGAGGAAGGAGATGTCACTTTGGCTTCTGATTTTGTGTTTTCCTTGAGCACTGGTGTTCTTTGGGGTCTGTTTTTCTGAAAACATCAAGTGGGGATTTCATAGACAAAAATCCTCCTTTGATTTTTTCAAAGAAGGAAAAATTGGAAATATTTTGTCACTTTTAAAAATTGATAAAAGGAACAAAGTTCTATTAATTAAAATGGAAAGCCATGTTATGCTTGTGTAATGAGCATCTACACTTCCTAGAGAGAGTAGTAAGAGAAGGAAGTCCCAGACTCTCATTCTTTTCTTTTTGTTCTTAGCATCTGGGCAGAGCCAAAAGAAGGAAGAATGGGATTCGGAAAGGTAAGGTTCTGCTTCCTTGACCTGAGCTCTGCATGAGTGAGCCTTTCTGTTCTTTCTATGAGATCCCAGGTCCATGATCTCTGAGGATGTTAGTTGCTACAGTGTCTCTGGAAAAACAGACCCCTTAGACCTGAGAGAGGCACTCAAGGGAAGGTAATGAACTGAGACACTTAGAGTCTCTGCTCTGCCCATCCATGGGCATGAAGGAGTAACGGCCCTGGGCAATGGGTGTTGCCTAGTAGGTGGTTGTGTGAAATTTTGAGGAAGGACTACCAATTGGTTTGGAGTCAGAATTTCTGTCTCCCAACTTTGTGTAAGTATTTTAAATTCCTGAGTGCTCAGATTCCTTTTTGAGGTAACCACTGTGTTTCATGTGGTGGTTCTGAACATCATGTGGGAAAATGCATGTGAAAGTACTTTATACATAAGGTCACCTACACATGTGAAAGTATCAACTCTATTAATATTCTCAATGATGATTTGATCTTCTCTTCTGATTCTTGGGTTTCTCCAAGACCAATTTACTAAAGATACTATTAAGGAACATTCTACTTAGATTCCTGCAAGATGTCTCTGCTAACTCCATGACTGTCCTGTGCTTCCAGGTCAAAGAGCTTGCCAGAGTGAAGTAGAGGAGGCAAGGAAGCTACTTTCTTTGCTGCAGAGGTGACTCAACATTATCCTTCTTTCCTGTATCCCTCTTTTTAGCTAACTCTATGCAATTCTAGGACCTCATTGAAGAGTGTGGTTGATAGTGGGTTGGAAAATCCTGACAGAAAGCCTGTGGGAAAAGGGATAAAAGGTATCTTATGTGATCAGGGAAATGGGTGCATATAAAAGGATAGTATACATTGGGTGACCTTAGATTTGCCAGACCTGCAGAGGTCACATGTTTGTTTTGGTCCTGGCTACAGCTTTGTATCTCCTGTCTTCTGCAGCCCACCAGGTCAGCATAGTGACACCAACTGCTTCCGCCAACTGTTATGTCCTGACCCCCTCTGTGAGGTGTGTAATAGAGCCACTGCTGAGGTCAAGCGACTGCTTTTCCAGGAGTCTCCAGAAGATGCTGTTCCCTCAGTGTCCCCTTTGACTTCCACAGCAACTGAAGAGCCTTCTCCACCTTCTGCTTCCATTCTTTCACCTGACCTGACCGCCCCCTTACCTGATTTACCTTTGCCCTCACCACTGGATGACTCTCTGCCACCACAGCCTGTTCCTCCCTTGGATTCCAAAGTTTCACTGGACCATTCCCCACCCCAGCTGCTTGCCTTTACCCCTCTCCCACCACCTCACATTCAGGGAGCAGATCCTGTTTTCCAAGCAGAGGCTACTTTGTTTGTAAAGACCATCTACAGATTTGACCCTATTCTTTCCCAAGATACTGACCCTTTACCAAATGTCTCCCAGGAACCAGATCCCACTGATTCACATGCTCAGCATCACAAATCCCAAACCCTGTTTGCTTCACCACTGCCAGACTGCACTTTAATTGAGACTCTATGTAAATCAATCTCCACCTTAGTGAAGCCTGTTCTGGAGATAACCTCTCCAGAAAGTTCTGATGGGTTGTCTACCTATGTTCCAAAAGTCAGAGGAAATGACCATTCAATTTCAGAATTCTCCCAGTGTCAGGCTCATGCTATAAACATGTTCCTCCCTACATCACCACACCCTGATTTTCAGCAAGAGCATGTTTCTTTCTATCTACCAGAGACCTCTCCTACCAAGCACATGGAGGCCAGTAGTCTTTCCTTCCTTGGCTTTAATATACAGGAACTCTTGGAGAGACAAATAAAAAAGAGAATGGCTTTCCAGGTTTTGGAGAAGAAATACAAGGAGAAGGGACCATTTTCAAAACAAATGTGGTCAGAATACCAACCAACATCTTCAGGGAATTCACTGCAGGCACTTGTTGATGAGCAGAATATGATAGCCCCCCAAACTGGCTGGAACATTAAAGACACACCAGACAATCTGCACATTTGTCAGCCACTCCTATATGTCAAGACTTTGGGAGGAAACTTTCAGCAGAAATATAACCAATTCTTCTGGGGTCTTCCCTCTTTGCACAGTGAGTCCCTAGTGGCTCCTCTCCTGGTCTCCAGGAGCAATTCCCCACTAGACTCTTGCATTATATCATTCAATGAAAGCTGTAATTCTCCTGCAGTTCAAATGCAAGATCAAGAATCTCCGTCATTTCCTCAATCCCATCCTCCTCCCCCCACTCATGTACATCCCTACCCCTTTTCTCAAACCAGTCCTCAACCCCACGTTCTACCTCTTACACAGGTCCATTCCCAGGCCCACCTTCAATCTTCACTTCCTATGCCACCATCATCCTTTCTACCCCAGATTAAGGACTGTGGAGTATGTTTCCATAGACTCCAGAATGAGGCTGGCTCTCACATCTCAAATGAAAATCAACATCTGGAATGGCATGTGTTGCAGAAGCAACAGGAAGGTTTATGGGGTGTAGTCCCTGTGCTCCAAAAATCTCAAGCTGTTTTCTTTCCAGCTCCCAACCTTCCATCGGTCAACCAGTCCTCCCACACCTCTGGTCCAGGCTCCACCTGTCCTGGCCATTTTAATGTCTACAGTGAAACCCAAGAGGAGCTTGAATTCCATGTTCCAAAGAGGCTAATGTCATCCTGGTGCCGCCATACCTGCAAGAATCGGGGATCTCTAGCACTGATGGAGCCTCAGTGCAAATCAACAGAAATATCTCAGCAGAATTATAGTCATACTAACTCAGAGTCCTCTGAGCTTCATGGCCATGGTAGCAAGGATGTAGGTAAGACAGAATTGAGTTGCTTAGGAAGTTTCCATGAGGGGGTCTCAACAAAGTTTCACCTGAGGAAAGAGGTACCCAATAATCTGGGACACATCATGGGGAAGTGGCCATTAGATAAAACACTAGAAATTTCAAAATGTATCCTAATGAGGGAACCGAGGGCTGCCTCTGAGGCACAAAGTGACTTGGTATGCTGCTCAAGAAACAACTCAGGGGAGGAACTGCTAAGTGTATCAAGGAGCAACTTAGACCAGAATCAAAGAAAATCCATTCTTAGATTACATCTGACCAGGAAGTCTTGGCAGATCACTGCAGATAGGATCCCTATAGATGTGTGTCGTTCATGGCTGGCTGACAACAATGTACTGTGTCTTCCTGGGAGTTCTCATCATAAAATGGAAAGAAATTTAGCATCATTGGCAAGTAGGGCCTACTGCAAGATTAGCACGCTAGGGCTTTCCTTTCTTGATCCCAAAACCTATCATGGGCTAGAAGCCCATATTATGAGGTTTAGGTTAAGTCAGACATGGGGCCTACCCCTTAGGGTTCTTGAATCCATCAAATTCTATGCCTTGAGAGAAGCCAAAACATGGCCTCTTCCCCAATTTGACTTTTTTTCATCTGGCACCTATTTTTCTAGGTTGGTTTCTAAGTCCTTTAAGGAAACCTCAAAAACTTTTCAGGGAAACAAGTTAAGAATGAGTTCAGTTCCCATCCTGAATTATTTCCTCCCTGAAACCTCACCTATAGGTAAGGAAGAACGGGGGTTCCTGAGACAATCACCCTCTGAAGCTGACCATGAGCATGAAGAGAATGCCCAGACAACTGAACATGGCAGACAGACACTTCTGCCCTGCACACACAGCAGCACAGACAATGCAAGACAGAAACAGACTATACTAGCCAAGAGACACAGCCCAAAGCTGCCTATGGGACAAAATGGAGCTAGACAAGCATCAGGGAGTGAAAGAGTAAGTTTCAGTGATAGCGTAGAAAGGCTTCAGGATGAAAGTATGGTGAAGAAGGATTCAAAACATTTTTTTGTGTCCAATGTGTTGCGGGAGATATTCAAGGCTGATGAACTCTGCTTTCTTCAATCACAATCTACTGATACCTCAACAACCACAACCAGTGAGTTGGGAAGTTCCTCAATGATAAATGTGAATAAAAGTGAAGACAAAATTACTGTGACTACCACATACTCTCCATCAAAAATATCGATTCCTGAAGATTCTACATCATTAGACCTTGAAAGACAGCTGGTTAGTGAGATAAAGTTTCCATTGAAGAGTGAGGAGCATAGCCAGACTGAAGATGGTGCCAGTGGCACTTTCTATAGTTCAGATTGCTTGGCTTCTGAATCTTCACTGCCTTGTTCCAAGGATGTCTCCAGCAGGAGCCTGGCAACTGCTCAGGTGCTGCGTCTCCACATGAACAATGGAGAAGTCATCATGGAACAGAGAGAGGAGCCCCTGGACCCTAAGGATGTCTTAGAGGAGTGCCAGGATATGGATTTTCCATCATTCAAGAGGGTAGTGATCCCTTTGGGACTGAAAGCAGGAGAAAGTGGAAATGAGGACCCAAGATTACAAACATACAAAGCCAAAAGAAAGTGCCATTTTGTCAAAGATAAGAGGACATTAGAAGGGGCTTCTAATATTGTGGGCCAAGACAAACCATGTCCTCCTGAAAGTTACTTTAGAAAAAAGATAAGGGAGTTTTTTCAGTGGTTCAAGTCCAAGATAAAAGGCACCTGGCTGCAAAGTCCCCACAAAAAAGTCAAGTTCATGCATGACTTTTTCCAGGACCAAGACCCCGTTGAAGATAGACATGTCTTTATTGTGAGTGATGGGCCTCTTGAAGCTTTTGAGCTCATGAGGGTCCTTGGGAATATCCTGGAGGAAAAACTGGGATGTAGGCAGGAATCTGAGGCCTTGCAATTAAATCAGAAGAAGAAAGAACTGTGGTCCCTAGTAGAGCCCCACAAAGGAAAATGCTCCTACTATGCGGTTCCCTTTGGCCCAGAGCAAGGGGAAGGATCAGTTACCAAGTACTACAACCAAGAAGCTGTCTTTGCTGGCCCAAGTTGTCTTACAAGTTTTAAATGAATCAGATGTAGGATCATTCCTCCTCAGAAAGTTGTGACATTGAAAGACAAGCTATTATTCCAGATTTATCCTCTTTCCCCACTCTCTCATCTAAGCCCTATCTATATGCAAGTAAGCCAGGTACCTCTGGCTGCCCTTTCACCAGCTGAAGAGATTTGACTCTTCTACACAAATAAAAAATGCTTCTCCAGCACTTACAGGAGGCAAAACTTTTCTCCAAGGTGTAATTCAGTTCTTGTTGAAAAAGCCTCTCAGTTTTCATGATAGTACATCTCTGATAAGAGCAATTTCTTTTCAGCAAGACTATTGATCCTCCTGAATAAATGTTTCTTCTACTAGAGAATGGTGTTCTCTGTGTACTGCACTGGAGGCTTGGGTTTTGAGTATCCCAGAACTAGTGCTTAGGGAAAGGAAAGGAGTTAGTTTAGTTAGAGTTGGTTCTTACTGCTGTTTGTATCTTTTAGCTTCTGAATGGTGACAAGTCCCTTGTAGGGAGCTGACAATAGCTTCTCTGTCTTGACCTAGAGTCCTTTATATGACCCTTCTTATATGGCCTATAAATAAAACACTGTATTTCATAAAAAGTACAAAAAGTCTAAGGCTTTTCAGAACTTTTCAAAGTGAGAAAAATCTTTGAAGTCCAGAATTTGGCTCAAACCATCTTTTCACCTGTTCCCTGACTTTCCTAAACTATGTACAGCTATAGAGTGGGGCAAGTTACTCCAGCACAATAAAGTCAGAAATTTCCCTTGCTGTCTCTGGAAGGTCTTGGAATTGGAAGCATGAGGGGAGAGGGGGTTTAGGCCCTGAGATCAGTGGGAGGGAGAAATCTTCCTCTTGGATCTCTTGGCGAGGAATAAATGTTACTCCTCCAAAGGGCGAGCCTTCTTTCCCTCAAGAAGTATGAAGAATGTGCCATGTTCCCCATCTGTTACCTTCCCCTAATGAACATGGAAGTTCCCCTTTCCTCTTTCTCTACTCTTTTGGGAGCAGTACAGAGGACAGACTGTAGCTCTGAAAGAGGCCAGGGATAAAAATAATTTCCTGCAAACAGTGGTTTACTTTTATTTTTAAGGAGTTTCTGCTTTCTGAGTATTTGGAAGGTGATGAGCATCATTGAGTGGGACATGTATGGATGGATGAGTTTTGCTCTTATAGATACAAGGTTGGCCAGGGCAGGGTCCAGGAAATGCATGTGTCCTGTTGCAAAATCTGTTAACTACAGTAAGTAACTATGTCTGGAAAGCACAATTTGAGCTAGACTATAAGGTCTCTTCGCTTATGAGGGTACTTTGAAAGAAAAGAAAAGACCTGTTCCTAAGGGATATCTTTTGGGTGCTTGGCTTGATGACATCATTGTAAGACCAAGAGATCACCTGGCAATCACTTGTAGCCACTGGTCATTTGGTAGCAGCTATGGAGGATTTGGGAAAAAAGGAAAATGTAATAGGAGAAGAAGAGGTTAAGAAAAAAAAAATGAGGAGGGAAAAGAATGACTCCATCATCCCTACTCATGACTCCATCCTGGCCATCCACGCTGCCCAGCACCCTATTTAGCCCTCATCTCCTGGTGGCTTCTAAGGGTGTTTTTGGAGAGTACAGTGGTACCCTTTCAGTATAAGGGTACAAGGGCTGGTCACTGAGCACAAAGTCAAAATCTGCAGGGATACTGTCAGATACTATATATCATTTTTCTTGGGAAAGGTGATCTTTGTCCTTACCTTTTAGCCATGCTACATTATTTATTTATTTATTGTGACAGAGTGTCACTATGTCACCCTCAGTAGAGTGCTGTGGCATCACAGCTCACAGCAACCTCAAACTCCTGGGCTTAAGTGATTCTCTTGCCTCAGCCTCCCAAGTATCTGGGACTACAGGCACCTGCCACGACTCCTGGCTATTTTTTATTGCAGTTGTCATTGTTTGGCAGGCCTGGGCTGGATTCAAACCCGCCAGCTCCAGTGTATGGCTGATGCCCTAGCCACTGAGCCTAGCCATGCTACATCTTACACCGAGGTTACAGTGATTTGGAAATGTATTGGTCATCTATTGCTATATAATAGATAGCTCAAAATTTAGTGGCTTAAAAAAAAGTACATTTATTATCTCACATTTGTGTAGGTCAGAAATCCAGGTGAGACCTGGCTGGGTTCTCTGCTTCAGGATTTCTCACAGGGCTGCAATCAAGGTATTAGCTGGGGCTGAGGTCTCTTTTGAAGTCTTGACCAGGGAAAGATACACTTCCATGCTCACTTATGTAGCTGTTGGTGGCATTCTGATCTTGAGGCCCACAATTCCTTGCTGGCTGAAGGCTCTAATGACACTACCTCCTGGTATTCACACACTTGAGTAATCACTGCTCCTGGCTGGAATAATCTGGAGGTGTTCCTTAGTTGCTCATCATGGGGGGGCCTTTCCAGTGTGGCAGCTTGCTTCATCACAGCCAGCAAAGGAGAGAATCTGTAAGTAGGACAGAAGTTACAATCTTTTGGAAATTCAAAATGGAAATACATCCCCTCATCATTCCCTTATCCTCCTGGTTGGAAGCAAATCACTAAGTCCAGGCCACTTAAGAGGAGAAGTCATCACACAACTGTGTGAACACCATGACGCAGTGTCCTTGGAGCCTTCTTAGCAGTCTTCCTAATATAAGTGTCTCTTCTTAGACACCCCACTCAGTTCACTGAAGCCAAAGTGGCCAAAAGTGCAAAAGGGTTCCTCAATTTCATCCATATCCATGGTTAAGGTCAAAGCTGTTTAATGGTTTACTGGAGTGATGGCTGGTAAGAAAAACATCAAAATGGTTGGAGCATCCAAAGTAAAAGAGAAAGCTGGTGTGAAACTAATGGTGGTGTGGGGTTACCATGAAGGGTAAAGTGAAAGGATCTCTGAGAATCCCCTGCCAGCGTTCATTCTAGAGTTAGAGGGAAGGAGAAATTAGGTGTACTATCCTCGCTCCACCGTAGTCTGTCTTAGGTCCTAGACCACAGGTCAAAAGAAGCAACTTTCAGCTCTTGCAGCAACAGCTAGGCCTGTGGAGGAAGCAAATCGTACAGGCTGCAAGACTTAATTACCACTTTTATTCATACATTTTAAATAGCACACCCATCATTTCAACTTTGCTTCTTACAGCTTGAACATCATAGATTGAGACACTCATTGGTAGAAAAAGCAAGACTAGGGAACTCGGAGCATTTAAATCTCATTCTGGGATGTTTTCCAGGTATCCATTGCCTGAAGACTTCCAACAAAAGGAGAAGTAATGCCTCAAGAGGCTGTGTTACTGGCCTGGGGTCACAGGACATGTTATGCCTGGTGCCCAGAGACTTGCTTCCTTCCACTCAGAGAAACACTGGATGAGGCAGTGAGACGGAATTTGCACTCACAGAGCACCTAGGAAGTGATCTACCCCAAATGAGGTGGCACCAACAGTGATTTCGCTTGATTATTATACCAGGGTATCAATGCGTCACTGTGGGAGGAGAGATTGTACTGACCATGTGCTGTGGGAATTCCTACTATGCCAGGTTACCAGCTTCAGGTAATCTTCATTTCTGGCAGGATAATTTACCAACCTATTGATTACCACTTCTACTGTCTGCCAAAGGGACTCCAAAAAGAATAAAAGTTACCTTGCCACTTTTGTCTTGGTCTCAGGGGTTATGAACGGCTTTCATGTTGCCTGTCCCAAGACAGGCTTTGAGGCACCTGTTGTACAGTCCTACCAGACTGTCATGTGGGAGGGGAATGGAGCAGAAGCTCCTGGGAGGGAGGTGCTAGGGGTTGAGGCAGGTGCTGAGTTGAAGGAGGGAGAGTTGCCTAATGGCAGCAGTGTCTCCGATGACTTTGAGAAGAAGGAAGAAGTAAAGATATGTTCCTTACGTGGATGGGTACAGTGTGGATGTCCTCAGGAGACAGCAGGATTTCTTAAGGAATGAAATGATATTTGCTGAGATGACTATCAAGCCCCATTATCTTGGGAGCTGCAGCAAAACGCAGTATTGTACAATCCCGGCATGTGTGTTGTCAGTGGCTATCTGAATAGGCAAAAGGTCAGTAATGACCAATGTTAGTCCTGCCTACGCTTTAAAACGGGTGCTTTGAGCTGGATGTAATTCAGAAATATTAAGTACTCCTTGTTGTAGAACAAATTTGTGCTTTTATGAATATAATCCTATTTAATCTTTACAGCACTTTGAAGCAGATATTGTAACCCCCTTTTATAGGTGGGCAACCTGAGGGACAGAGAAGGTATTGTATGTAGTGGACTAGCATGGAGCCAGGAAAGGAGAGCCCTTTTCCATTCGGAGGAATGATTAACCAGAAGCAAATTCAATGCCGAGGTCTCCAACCACGAAAAAAGAAGAGTCTGAGACTCAGGTGCCTGAGAAGATCAGGGAGCAAGACTGTCCTCAGGCAGTAGGGTTCACAGTGTGGCTTAAGTGATGCTATCAGGTTTCTTTTTCTATTCATTGCTTGGCTCTTACTGTGGGCTGGGTTCACTGTAAGACAGTGTGTCTGGCAAGCTCACAGCTATGGTTTGTAGGCTTCAGGTGCTCGGAGGAGAGAGGTGGGAGTGGGCCCTGGGAAGGGAGCTTGAGGTGGGAGAAATCAGCTGGAGGCTCCAACATCCAGTGACACCATCCACCAGCCTGGCCTCCCACTGCTTACCCCTTCTCATCTTAGATCCCTGTATCTTCATTTCAGTTCAGTTACTGTCACACTCCAGAACTTATCACCAGAAACACCCTGCCATCTGAGAAATACAGTCTGACATTTTACCCTTTATCCTTTTCATTTTCACCCTCGGTACACCAATTCTTCATCCTACTCAGGAAGGACCAGCCACTTTAAACTCTCTCCCTGTCCATCCAAAAACTTTTTGCCTTAATTTTCCCACTCTCCAAGGACTCTACCTTTTCTAGACCTACCTTTTAAAAAGAGGCTGATTTCCTTTTGCGCAAAATGACACAATTAAGGGCATTGGTGCCAGTTAATTC